AAGATACTTAGAAATGGCTTCCAGATGATTTCGGTACTATTAACACAAAAAAAAGAATATGCTTGCTCAAAAGACCGTGAAGGGATGGCCTATAATAGGCCGATCTCTGACCAGTTTTATGTTGTTTTGACAGGTTTATTGATAGAGAAAATGAACTTAGACAATCCAAACCACCAAATCCTCAACCCCCACAGAGACCAGCCATGGACCCCTGGACAAGATCTCGGCTTAGCCGGCAGTTTGCACCACCTAAGGAGGAGAAAATCTCTGACTCTGATTGTTAGTATGAGTTTTTTCTTGGAAGTGCATTCTAAATGAATTTTGTCTTTTCAAATCATAATGATATATCTGTGTTCTACATGATTGGAGGCCTACACGTAGCAGTGTAATGAAAATAATGTTTCATTCAATAGTACTAGGCATGGTGGGTGGTAGATTGAATTGGTTTTAAGCTTGTGTGTTTTCCACCCTGGCTTTTTCTCTAGTTGATCAATACATATGAATCGTCGTCCAGAAGCTTCTTGACTCGTGTTTTAGAAACCCCACGCGCCACCCTGCGGTGCATAATTATGCTATTGTTGCAGTAGAGTCGGTATTCTCTCTTTGAGGCCTGTACCATGCTCCTTGATAACCTTTCTACATGGTTGATAGAGGAGAGCTTTGTGTGGGAAATCTGTGTATGAAGTATTTGTGGGATGATTATTTATTTTTATTTTTATGAATGTAATCCTTTTCTAGTAAAATACTTTCTAATTCATATATTTTTATGAAAAATAACTGCCTTAACATTGAATTGTCTAGGCAACAGAAGATTTTTTAATTCATCTTGATTAATTTCCTTACATTAAAGTTGTAGAAGTATAAACTCTTGCTCTTATTCATGTTTTGTTTATCATCTTTGTTGCCCAAGGAAAATCAAGATTTACTTATTTTCTGTCCTTGCTGAAATGCTACATTAGAATGGTTCATAAGTCTTAATTTAGTTCTAGGATACAAGTGGTGTCATTTTTTCAGTTAAACCATACTATTAAGTTAAATTAGTTACTAATTGTTGAAAGTATTTGATACAAAGAAACGATTAAGATATTGTTCAGCACACACTTTTTTAATATATTGTTGTTGTTTTTTTTTTGATATTGTAACGCCCTAATATTTAAATGGGAAAGGGGTTAAAAGTATCCCTCGATGTGTTCATTAGTTAAATATGCCCTCGTCATTAAAATAAAGTTATTTTTACCTCCGTTGTCTACAAATTTGTTATATATACCCTTTATTTGAATGGAAAATTCTAAATCTAACAAAAATAACTCAATTTACTTAAATTGATCAATTTAAACTCGACTCGATCCACCATATTCATCTTGGCGGGGCTTAATTTGTGATTCAATAGAAAAAGGATGACCTTTTTAAGGGGTCTTACTTAGGTTCAAATATCAGTATAAAAGTTATAACACTACTCTTCTCAGGAAGCTTCTAATCTCACTGGCAGTTGCATCATGTCATTTAGGTGATTGATTCCATTTACACAGTGTATGTAATACGAATACTAATATCACAGAAAGGAAGTTTGACTATTTTGTAGGGCTGCTCTCTTCTGCGTCGACTGCTATGTGCTAAAGGCTGCGGAAAAAGAGCGATAAGGCTTTCTGGATTCAATGACCAACCTTATCTTGCAATTTTTTGAATAGACTTTTAACACGCCCAAACTTTGATTTAATCATGTTGAAAATTGCCCCTTCTAACATATAAAATACAAAAATATAAACGTCCACACCTTCACTAGCTCTTCATTGATCTTCCACACTCACTCGAATAATCTTTTTCAGAATCAATAATTAATATCATGTTTTATGACACTTAATTTTTTCTTTTATACAACCCTATAAATATAAATATTTATGAAAATCATGTTATACGGAGTAATACATATTTGATGACTTGAAAAGCACTTGGATAATACTTGGGAGAAAAAATAATAATTAAAGCTTCTTGTTCTCTATATACTATCTGCATTTCTTTGCCTTAATTATATTACTACAATTTTTTGATAACAAAACCAAATAAATTATGACACTTGTACGGTAAATTTATCAAGTTATAGGCAATTATGAGCGTTGGATATAAATATGAAAACGTGAATATAATTAATATAATGTATAGTATGCATACATATATATATATATATACACATAAACTAATCATATATATAACTCAGACATATTAACATATTAAAATTATACACTCAATATATCACCGTACTAAAACTCTATATGTTAATTGTTATCAACGATGAGATCAAATTATCTAATTAGCAAAACTAAGGTAAACAAGATTACTGTTTTGATGACATCTTACTTTTGAGGAATTTTGAATTAAAATATTGATAGTCCAATAATAGAGATCAAACTCAATCATTTCATTCTCAAAAAGATAAAGCCTAAATTAAACTCACGTAAAAGATTATATCCTCTTCATTATTTTTCTTAATTATTATTTAAAGAAAAGATCATGAGATTGATGGAGACATGTTTCCTAATATTGACACGTGTCAGCTAATAGTTACTAGCTGACTTATCTCCCTAAATAACGAAGGGAACATAGAAAGAGCTCATCCTCATCCAAAGTTTTGGATTTGAATCTTAGTAGGGAGAAAATTTTATTAGGAATATTTTTTAGAATAATATTTATAATACCTAATTTAAATTTAATTAAGATTTTAATATAGATATTTAACATAAAAATAATAATTCATGTTCAATTTATTGATATTTTTAATCTTTCATACTAAAATTCACTTTTATATAATTAGAAACATTCAATTTTTCAAAAAATATCGTGCTTTCTTAATGAATTAATTTTTAGATATAAATATCTAAGATTAATTTTAATTCGAAGAAAAATATTTTATTTAAAGATTTGAAAGTTCTTGAAACTGACTTCAAAGTTCTGTCTATATTGTATACTTTCTGTATGTTAGAGAAAACAGTAACATTTATAAAAGTAAACACCAAATTATTCTCTTTTCTTTTTCTTCTTGTTATTGTTGTTGCGTAGAAGTTTCTTCAATCTTGAATGGTTGAATTACTTTTTTCAATTCTCATTTATTTTATTTTTGATTGTGTTGAAGCACATTCTCTCCAAATTTTCAAGTATTTGAACATTTTTTCTCTAATTCATAATATTTTTTTTCTTGATTATGTTGGAGCATTTCTCTTCGACTTTCAAGTGTTGAAGCACTTTTCCACACTCGAGTGTACTTCTTTTAAAATCTATAATATTTTTGTAAGTTTTTTTTTTAAATAATTAATTTATATTTATCACTTGATAGATGTTTGTCGATATAATCATTAACTAAACGGACTGATATATATAGATCATGACTCATATGACGATAATTATGATTTTTTTTAAATAATTAATTTATATTTATCACTCGATAGATGTTTATCGATATAATCGTTAACTAAACCGACTGATATATATAGATCATATGACTTATATGACGATAATTATGATTAGAAATTAATTATTTTTTTTCTAAGAATATTTGATAATATGTCAAATTGTTTCACGTGAAGGAAAGGGTAAGGTAACTTATAGCATGATACCTATATTGTTTACGCGTAAGTTGAAAAGTAAATTTGTTCAACCTTTTTCTTATTTTAATAGTTATATAAAAGTAATAAAATAAAGAACAACTTTCGTATATAGTAAAAATATAATTTATATTTACATGCTATAGAAAAGTTTGTATAATTATGCTCTATAATAAATATAAATATATGTATTTTGTTATATATACAAAAAAACACAATTATATAATTTGCTATACATGTATAAAGAAATCAATTGTATACTTGCTATACATGTACAAAAGAAAGTAGTTATATACAAATCAGTTGCATACGTATAAAACGAAAAAGAGAAAACGATAAAAAAAAATTGGCAAGGAATATTTGTATTATACAATTGTAAGTGTATAGAATGAGAAAAATATATATTTGCATGTGTATATACAATTTTCTCTCGCTTTATATAAACAGAAACACAATTTATACATTTGCGTTTGTATAAAAGTGAGAATGAGCGAAAAAGAGTAGCGTGCGAGAGTTTAAGAGAAAGAAATGACTGACAATGAATTTGCTACAAGAGACAATTAAATCAAAGTATAATTATAATATTTAATTTATATACAATTTTCCTTAAAATAAATACATTCAAAAACTTACAAATAATTTCACTTAAATATTTCATAAAATAAGTATAAAATATTATGTTTCTTTTCAGATTTCACCATCGAATATTTTGATGTTATGAACAGTTTTGGATAGGCGAATGGATAATGTGTTTATATCTTAAGCACCGACCTCGCAAACCATTCAAAATATTTTCACACTTATTCTTTTTTTAATTTAAAGGGCCTAATAAGGTTGCGTCGATGTCTTCCCATGCCTAATTAAACAATATTTGATTTTGATTGAATTAATTTTCGACTTTCATTTCATCTTATTTAGAATTATATTTTCAGTGTGTTTTAGGTGAATTATGTCATGTCTAAACACGTGTCTCTCACATCTCCTCACTGGGGCACATCTATGCATTTGCTCTTCACATGTTCGAGTTATCTCAACCTCTCGCCTTGTCCCCGACTTGAGTCACTCCTACCTTGCCTCATATCTCTTTATTCCTGATCATATCTCTCATAATATGCCCATACATTCATCTCTATGTTCTTTAAAAAAAATTATAAATATATCATTCACTTGAACTAGTCAAAATATAGAGAATCGAACAAGTCTTGATTCAATTGAACACCTCAACTCGTAATAAAGTATTCGATAAACATTTTCGATTCAAATTTGAAGTAGAAAAAGGGTGGAGTGTGGAAAGATATTTTGATAAGTCTATAGGGTTAAAATAGTAATAGCATATGAAAAAGATACATGAATGCCCAGCTTTCACAAATTTCATTCAGCACGTCATCTGCCTACACCTTTCAATTTTTTCGAACTCTCTCGATAACCTCCCCGCCCACCTATAAAACCACTCACATTCGAACCCTATTCACAAAAATCCACCATTTTCTCTGTGTGCGCATTTATCTGTATACATTATTCGGCATTTGCAGGTCGGAGAATCTGATCGGAGCAAGTTGTGATCGACGATCGGAGTTGAAAGTTCGTTATTCAAAGTGTTCTGCGTTAGCTTCCTTTTATATTTCACTTTTGTTTTTGCTCCGTAATTCCGTTTTTCGCTCTTCTCATTTCTATTGAATTTACTTATATAGGTAGGTGGATTATATGAATTTTGCGCTATTATATAGTTTCCTCCAAGTATTATTAGACCTGTAATGACGCCTATCTACTGATCTCTATTTTTCGTCTTATTCTTCTGATTTGTCGTTCGTTGCATTTCATCCTCTATGTCGGAATCTATGAAATGTTTGTGCTGGTGAATTTATAGGTTTTGTTTGCTTAGAGTGATTATAATGGATTTGCCTTTGTTTGTATGTGGAGAGATACTTTTGATGGAGTTCGTAGAATTTGTGTTGTGTTGATTGTGCTCTCGTCTAGGTTCCATTTGTTGTGGAATCTATAAGATTTGTGATTGTTGTGTTATGGAAAAAAGAAAGAGAAAGCGACTCTGTTGAGATTATGTTTCAGTGCCATGAGATCATGAATAATTGGTTTGCGTGCTATTGTGTTATGAATGGTTGCCTTGCAAATGCCTATGTTGAATTAGATGGTTATGTAGCGTATGTATCTTAGTGGAATGCTGCTTTATATCACTGAGCTTTTGAGCTTTGTGGTTATATTAATCCTATCCACAATTTTTTATTCACGTAGTGTATAATCCTCAGTTTCAGGGCTTTTGCCTTGGCTGATTGATTGCATGAGACCTTCACTTTTGATTGATTGAGTGGCAGCAAAATATATCCGTAGGAACGATTGACAACTAATTTGGCATTCTTTGGGCTTAGAATAGTTGATGAAATTATCTAGTTTTACTCTTAGCCTTGAAAAAATCATAGTTAAATATATAGGTACCCACAGGTTTAAGATATGGGGTACCTGTGTGGGTGGTTTAGCTATATTGATGTTTTGTGACGGTTTATAAACTGCAGTTATCAAGTAAAATTCCAGTGAGAAGATGATGAGGAATTTAAAGAAAAAGCATATAGTAAAGATCTTGATTAAACAAATACTCTTCTTTTTTCCTGTTCGGTCCCTTTTTGGTTATGAAGACGGAGACTATAAACACAAGCATTTATAAGCATGTATTTGGTCAATCTGAAGTTGCAAAGCTGGTGTCTCGATCAAATGCAAGTAGTAGTCATGATAGTGCCATACTCATTGGACATCTATGTCAATCTTCTGTTCAGTTTGTTCATCACTCTTTCCTTTTTCTATTTTGCGTTAAACTTCTGATGCTGGTATCCGTCGAGGCTATTGGTATTTGCAACTCACTTTTCTTTCAATAATAATAGGCTGACTTAGGATAGGGAGTTTCTAGTGCTTTCCAAGCCTTCTGGTATGCTTTATCTTCCAACCAATCTAATTTTGGGCTCTTGAAGGAGATCATCTGGTATATGTGGTTGTAGCTGTTCTTGACTGCTATAATGGAAGTGTAAACTCTACCTACTTTCACATGAGAGGTAGACACTGGACTGTGGAAAAATAAGATATCGTGGCACATGATGCTTTTTGTTTTGCAACTTTAGTTTTTGTGAATTTTAGTAAAATGCTAGGCATGTGCGATGATGAGGTCTTTCGTTAACAAAGATAGGCCTTGGGGTGAAAAGGTGAACAAAAAAGAAAGGAAAATAGAAAGATGACCACCGGAGGCTGGAGAGTATGGATCAGTTGGATGTTGTAACCCAACAGATAAGATTTTCCTTTCTGACAATGAAAAAATCCAACTAACAGACTGTAGGAATTTATAAAATTCTTCTTCAGGGTAAGATTCCCTTGTTAAAGTGACATGGTGCAGAAGCTCAGACAGAGGTAGGGTTGTCTGTGATGGACAACAAATAATTCATCTCTGCAGTCTCACACTTTTCCTAGTATTTTTCTGTCAGGATGGGTTTGATTGTTGTCCATTGCTTTTACCTTAGGTTGGACTTCCCTTCATCAGTATCTCTTTAAATGGAGTTCTCCAAGAATGAAGTCATCATGCAATCATTATTAGCTACTGCTGGATGCTTTGGAGCTCCTCAATGCTTCACGATAGTTCTAGTTTGGTTCCTTTTGAACCTACTTGTGGATTCTTGTAGATCAACTTGTTTTGATGAAATTCTCATGGTGGAGTTTGCTGATTGGAGCTGTCAACCTTTGTTGGAATTTGTTGTTGCTGGTTTCAATTGGTGTTCATGTGCGACAACAAGAACATTGTCTGAGGTGTTTTGCCCATTTGGAGGGCCAAGTAGTCATGCCTTTGTAGGTTTAGGATTTTTTCCCTTGACTATTTTCTGAATGCAGGGCTTGTAGTTGTTAAATTCATCCATAAGGCTAAATGGGAGACATAGTGATTGAACATTCAGGGTCGCCACATTATGAGGCCTTGAACTTGCAAAATGTTACAACATCTGAGAATGATGCTGATCTGGTTCGGAGTTACTGTGGGGGCTTCTTTCCTGAGGGTAGTACACATGAAGAAAAATCCACTTGCACCGAAGCCCTCGACAGAGGATTCTTTGAATATGGGTATGTTGTCTGTCTCATTCATGAGTCTATTTTTTCCAAACATTTTTGGTTGGTCTTGGTTTGTCTTCATCAATTTTTAACTTGTGTCTATTTTATACAATCATTCTTGGTTGATCTTTGATCATCACTGTTGTAATATTGAAGGTGTAGATACATATCATGATATATGTTTGTCTAAACCTCGTACATAGTGGATATTATGATTATCAATTATTCTCAGATGTGTGTTCTTTTCCAGATGTTCCCACTATCGCCGTAGATGTCGCATTAGAGCCCCATGCTGCGATGAGATGTTTGACTGCAGGCATTGTCATAATGAATCTAAGGTAAGTCCTGATGAATGATGGAGTCAGAATTTGGACAATAAGACATTCTAGTTGATGATGGAACTGACCATACACTTCCGAATAAGCATAACATGTCTGTAGTCAATGAGGTGCACAAAATGCTACCTCAGTAAGATTTGAGATGACAAAATAACTGCATCCAGGAACATGGGCATTATTGTTTGAAGTCGCGTGTAGTGCTTTCTTGTACCTTTTGATTCCAAGGCACCTGATTTACACCTCATAGCATTTGTTGTGGCTATGCGTCATTTAGATTTTACTTTATCAGCAAAGAGTCGTATTTTGCCCCTAAAGATTTCTCATCTCCCATCTTTGGTTCGTAAAGACTTAACTAACATATATGCTTGTCTACAGAACAATATCAACATTGACCAGAAACTTCGACATGAGATTCCTCGTCACAAGGTGGAAAGGGTAATAATCCTGATTGGTTAAACTATTTTTGTGCAAATAAATCCTGCCCCCCAATATATATAATTCTCTTCCTTTGTCTCCTTTCCATCAACTAGCTTTACTTTCTCTTCATTTATTTTTGAAATCTGAACATGATGCATAAAAAAAAAACACTCATTCATTTTGGTTTTTCTGCAGATTATATGCTCACTTTGTAATACAGAGCAAGAGGTGAGTGGTGTTTATGCTATTCCTGCTCTTCTCTGTCATGTGGACACAGTTTGAAGGGTGTTTGTAATTGAGTAATGCAACTCTTTCTTGCTTGAGCACGACAGTTTATTGATCAAGAACCCAATGAAAATCGAGTTATCTTGTTTGATGTTTTGCTATTCTAAGCAACTTGCATTCTGACTAGTTATCACGGATGTCCTTTACCAGGTTCGGCAAGTTTGCATCAATTGCGGTGTGTGCATGGGGAGATATTTCTGTGAAACGTGTAAGCTATTTGATGATGATGTAAGTTTTAACTCTCCTCCCTTAAGATATTCACATGAAACTACTTAATACATACACTGAACTCAAGGAGTTGATAGTAACAAGGAAATGCAGGTGTAAGTGAAATATGTAATGTGCTGACCAACCTCTTCCCCAATTTTCATGTTGCAGATATCCAAAAGACAGTATCACTGCAGTGGTTGTGGGATATGCAGGTATTGTTACTTAGCTGAAATTTGAATGCCTTCCCCGTTCTCTCTCCCTCTCTCATTTCTCTTGAGCTCCTGATAGAGCAAAAAAGTAACTAAAGAAAAGGAGATAATACATCTGCTAACGTCTGTGAAATAAAAACAAAGCCTGCTCTGCAATTCAATACCAATTCATCTGGAATGTCGCATATCATACTTTTGGTATACATTTGATGTTTAAACTCTGTATTGATTCTGATGTTGGTGTTCTATTTTTATTATTTTTGTGTTTCTAGGATTGGTGGGATGGAGAACTTCTTCCACTGTCCCAAATGCAGTAAGTCTCAGTCATCCCTTTGTTTTTATCATAGGCTTCATGTATGTGCACTACTCCGTATTCTCCTTTGGAATTTCATTTATCTTACTATGTGATGGTTGTGTGATACAGGATGTTGTCATTCTGTTCTATTGAGGAACAGCCACCCCTGTGTAGAGGGGGCAATGCATCATGACTGTCCTGTTTGTTTTGAGGTATGGATTGCAATAAAAATTCTCTTCAGTTGTTTTTCCTCTTTTAAACCTTTTCTGTGATGTTACAACCGAATGAATTGAGAATGTTTATATGCAGTATCTCTTTGAGTCGATAAATGATGTAACAGTCATGCCTTGTGGACACACTATTCATAAGAACTGTTTGAAGGAGATGCAGGAACACTACCAGTAAGTTATTGTTACTTTATTGTTCCCTAGTTTCAACATGTGCAGGTTGTCTATACAACTGATGTAACTTTAACTTTGCAACAGATATGCTTGTCCTCTCTGCTGTAAGTCGGTATGTGATATGTCAAAGGTGTGGGAGAAATTTGACATGGAAATTGCTGCAACACCAATGCCCGAACCTTATCAAGACAAGAAGGTGAGTGTATTTTCCGAACTGTTCTTATTGCTGCATCAATATGCCATAAGAGCTTCAAAAAGTAAATTGAACTTATGATATTGCAGGTTTGGATCCTTTGTAATGATTGTGGAATCACCTCAGAAGTGCAATATCACTTTGTGGCCCAGAAATGTCCATGTTGCAAATCTTACAACACCCGCCAAACAAGAGGTGGATAAAAGGACCAAATATCAATAGCCAATCTGGCTTTCAAGTGAAAATGATCCCACACCCTATGTGGCTAGGGTGGTACCTCTGAGTGGGAATGATTGGGCTTTACAAGCTAAGCTTGTAGAAGAAATAACGGAAAGAAGGGGTTCTAATATGATCCTGCTTGTAACACTTCTGAGGTTATCGTGTTTTCGCGTTTTAGTAGTACGTGCGTTTTATATGCCAGTGCAATTTTCAAGACACTGATTATTTGTTCAGTGTTAGCCCTATTATTGTTGGCATGTGTGATTCAATCCTTTATAGCACAAAGCGAGTTGGACTGTGGCATGTTAAGTGGCTGAGAGACTTGATGTGTTGTGTGATATGTATTTTCCAGTTAATTACTCACTTGAAGATAAATTTGTATTATTACTTCATATTTATTAAGTAGTATATTTCTTTAAGAAAATTATGACGTAGTTAAATTGTCCTAAGTTCCTGACTCTGCATTCTTAGAGTGCAAGGTATCGAAACAAAGAAAGGAAAAAGCTAGTCCTTTCGATTTTCTAACGTGCAGTATGCCTTTTCTTTTTTCTGAGCTGAAGTGACAGATGAAAAGAACAGTTGCCTGACTAGATGAGTGACCCTTGTCAACATTTACTCTCACCCAGCCCAAGTTACTTAAATTGGTAACATAACAAAAAGGTCAAAAAAGTAAAAGGAAACATAGACAAGATACAGCAACAAAAGACCCAAAGATTCTGCACTAGTCCATTAGTGGCTAGAGACTTCACTACTGTACAGTATAGCACATGATACCAACATTCTCTCAATCTCCCACAACAATGTTTACATGGAAACAAAATGAAACCCAAAGGGGCCTCTCAGAACAGGACATTTCGAGTAGTTAGAATAGTCGAATATTTGTGTGTATTTACGGCTATTTGGTGTCAGTGTTTTATGGCTATTTGGTGTCAGCGTTGTTTGCAAGTTACATCAGTTCAGGGGCAAAATGGTAGTGTTAGCTATGCGAGACACAGCAGAAGCAGAAGCAGAACTGGTGTATTGCTAATCTTAAGAGTAAAAGGAATAAGACATCTCTGCTAGTATAACAGATAGAACGTTTACCACGTCCCAAATAGAAGCAGAGCTGGTGTATTTCAAATCTGAAGAAATAGAACGGATCTACTCAATCCCAAACAAGTTAGGATCCGCTACATGAATCATCACTATCAATGTTGCTCTGTGTAAGCCCATCTCAAATACAAAACAAACTAGAGTTATTCTACTGACATACAAATTTTAAAAGAACAACAAGATCCCTAGATGTCTATCAACTATCAAGTACATCCAAGAAAAAGATGACAAGTTGAGGATCAAAAAAATGAGCTAGGATCATGGAGGCAACTGGTTGAGGGGTTTTCCAAGAACAACAAAAACAGAAAACTCAAGAAGCTACGCCATCTTCACCGGACTTAAAAGACCAAATCGACATTAACTAGCATCGGTGAAGTCTGAATCACAATCAAGAAAGCATGTTATGACTAACAAACTTACATAAGCTGAAAACAAACAGATCCTATTAACAGTAAACAACGAGACAAGAATGAGCAATTGCAAAACATTTTTATTCATACATAACATAAGTAATGTATGTAGCCATAAAACATTTGTATTTTTGTCAAACTTTAACAGGTAATATTAGCTTGGTGAGAAACCAAAAATTGGGGAGCCACAAGGATGGGCTACAACCCTTCTAGTTAAGTTTCTTATCCTTCTTTTTTTTTTTTTTGGAGATTATACTCAACTATTACATAAACAAATTCAGAACTATATAAAACAAAATTTGCAGTTTGCGACTATTAACCACTAGGACCATGAGAAAGGAAAGATAGTTCACACAGGTAGCAGCAATACATGATCTGATCATCCATGGCTGCACAAAGATGCACAAAAAAACAGCTCTTAGTAAACAGATGATCAGGGTGTCTAGTTGTTAACCAGTGAGGTGGCGGTTTCATCAATCATGGGCTTAGTAGCTACAGCAGTGCGATTCCGGCATCCTATGTAGCAATGAACAAGCCGGTGTCAAAAACTTCATCACGGCTGTTTGGCTTAATAGAGCTTTCAGAATCATTATTGACTTTCTCCATCTCCTCATCAATTAAAATTGCCTCAGAACGACAATCCAAGCTGCAAAAAGCTTTCTCACCTCTGCAAAACACAATACAAATTTTCACTACGAAGTTCATCAAGTCATTAGAACTGTTAGAATTGCGGTGAATATTGAACAGACCTGTACATGTAAATATCTTTTCCGTCCAGCTTCTTCTTGCAAGAGGAACAGAAGCGCAAAAAATCGCTTGAAGGAAATGAAGTGAGGACCTCTGAGCTGTCCGTCACCTCAGGCAGCACGGTTTTCTCATTAGCATTCTTACAAAAATTGGGCAACTCATTGTTGTGACATTCTAAAATGCAGTCACAAAAGATATGAGTTACTTTGGCATTGGGTCCACGGGTTCTCACACAGGTATAGTCCTCAGAAAGTTGTATGTCACTCGCTGAAATAGAACCAACTAAGCTGGTGTTAGAGCCAACAGGTGTTGGTATAGGACTCAATTTCGCACCACCTGCAGGGTTGCCCAGCTTTGAGCAACCTCTAACACATTTAGTTTGTGAAACCACTGGATTTATTGCATTTTCAGAACCAACAGCCACAGTACGGTTCGCCAAGCTTGCGAACCGTGAGCTAGACCTTCCAGAGTCCAGAGAACAAGAACGAAAATTTCTCGAGTACTCATGCTCCGACAGGGCATCTCCAATTCCAAAGACAACATCAGAACTTCCCTTTCGAAGATTGGAGCTTTTGGACAAAGTATGAGGAAAAATCGAGATATTCTTAGGGAGTGACTTAGGTTCCTCAAGAGAATCATCAACACAGCTCTGAAAATCATGTGCTTTGATCCTCATTTGTGTGCCAAAAAGAATATTTTTACTATCGGATGATCGAAAAACTTTCCCCGAATGTTTCATTTCATCATCAAGAGAATCTACAATGCCAAGGCCTACTTTAGTACAACCCCATGTCTTGTTAGCCCCAGCCCCTTCACTAGTTGATGACCTAAAGGGGTTTCCCAAATTTGAAAAGACCCTAAAATCCAGTGGAGAAGTAGGACTTCTCACTGAGTCAGATTCTGAACCCTTAGGATTAAACCCAACAAACACACCAGGAACATTGAAAAAGGAGTTATTTTTATGTTTCCTAACAAAAACATCAGGTTGAAAATAAGAATCTGAGATACCATCAGACATCAAATGCCCCATTGTTTGAACTTTCTGGTGTGATCTGGTCCTCTTCTTCAACATTATCCTTAAACCCTCAGCCCTAAAAGTCCACCAACACCTGCATCAAGATCCAATATTCTCTGCTTTAGTAAAATAAATCATCAAGAATGTAAAATTTATAAAAAGAAAAGAAAAACCCCAAATGAGAAATCCATCAAAACATCTAAAGAACAACTACATCAAAGCTTGCATTTTTAAAGGGATTAGAGAAGGCAGATGAAAAAAGGCACAAAAAAACAATTCAAAAATCCATAAAACATACCTAGATTGTTAAAGAGAAACCTTTTTCTCAAGAAAATAAATAGTTAGAAATAACAAAAACTAGTCAAAATCAATGAACACCAAGAGTCAACAAGAGAAAGACCTGCCAATGTAGGTTAGGGCCAGAACAAAAAGTTTGAATTTTTTTTTATTTTTTTACAAAAACCACCATTGACATCTATCTCCAAGAAAAATGATTAAACCCACATAAACCCCATTTTCAAGATTTCAACTTTAGGTCATACATCACACAAGAATCAATGAAAAAATCAAAAATCAAAGAAGGGGTTTCATTTTCTTGATGGATTTTCAATTTTTTTTCAAAAGGGGATTCACAAAGAGAGAAAACCACCTGGTAGATTAGTTCCAGAAGCTTCAAAGAATTTAGTTTATGAGAGAAAAGAGTATAAATGCAAAGAGGAAAACTCTTTCCCTTTTATCTCTCACAGTAGTGTGTGTGTGTGGCTTCTTCAGTACATCTTTTTCTTTCTCTTTCTCTCACAATTTGCATCAAAATCAGTAAATAGTGAGAGCTTCTCAAATACTCTTTCAGTTTCTCTCTCTGTGTAGAAAATACACAAAATACATGTATGTATAAATACAATGAATAATAAATGATGTAGATAATTTTTGTTTGACTTTTATTTGAAATTTTTTATTTTTTGGAAAAAAATAATAATTAAGCCATTAAGATGGTCCATTAAAAAAGTAGAAGTAGTAACATGAGAGATAAGCAAGTATTAATTGGTAAGAAATTATTTCAAAATGGGTGTTTATATTAAATTATTATTACTAGAGCAATAAATACATCAAATGTTTTATATAAACAAACTAATTATTTAATCATAAATAATTATATTATTTAATCATGATCAATTGATAAGGTTTAATGAACAATTCTTGATCAAATTTATTTTTCATTTATTTTGGAGATAAAAGATATTTTAAAAGAGCTTGTCAAATTAATTATCGTCTTGGATTAATATCTAGACATTTATAAATTATTTGGTTAGAAATAATTTATTCAAAAATTAATATTATCGTGATATTTTCTTATAAAAAAATGTCAAATTAATCTTAGTCTATGATTAATATTAAGACATTTATGATTTGTTTGGTTAAGAACAAATTATTCTAATTTTATATGATCGAAATATTTTAAAAGAATATGTCAGTAAATATAGTATAAACTTTAAGATATTTATGATTTATTTGGTTTTGAACAAATTATTTGAACGTTTTATGATAATCGAGATATTTTAGAAGAACTTGTATAATTATTTGTATATCTTTAAAAAAAAATGTCAAATTAATTGTAGTTTTTGCTTTATCAAGACATTTATAGTTCGTTTGGTTGACAACAAGTTATTTGAAGATTATAGTTATGATTGGAATATTTTTAAAATATTTTAAATTAATTACTCATATTTTTTTTATTAATATCAAGACACTTATGATTTATTTGATTGAAAATAAATTATTTAATGATTATAATAATTGATACTTTTTAGAATAATATGATTCATTGGACTAGAACAAATTATTCAAATATTAAAACATTGAAGAATTCTAGAAAAATAAATCAAATTAATTGTGGTTGTCAGTAATGATTTATTTGATTAGGAACAAGTTATTCAAAATATTTAATAGTAAAAATATTTTAAAAGAAAATATATCAAATTAATTGTAGTCTTTGATTAATATCAAGACATTCGTAATGATAAGTTAAGTTAAAAACAATCATTCATGGGATGCAATGGATATAACTATTCCTTTTTAAATTGAAGATCTTAAGTTTGAGTCACGAGTAAAAAAAATAATTGTAAGAAATATTTTCTTTTGATTAAAGTTACGAGTAAAAAA